CCTGATAGAAGGCCTCCTCTCTTAATATTGGAACCTTTCACCGCCTTGCCTGCATGGTATTGGCGTAGCTATCATAATATTCATCTTGTCTCATTTTGGACCACTGCACAGGCAACCCATTTGTTTTAATATACTAGTATATATTTTTTCTTAAGCTTTTTCATCAGAACTACTCTTAATTATATATAATGGACAAAGAAATCACCAAAAGCATTCGAATCCCTCTCTCTCTCTCTCTCTCTCTCTCTCTCTCTCTATTTATCCCATTATTTCTCTCCCCTTCTCAGACTATTACTCAGTTGAATCTCTTTTTCTCTCTCTGATGATTGAGGAGCTCATCAGCTGGATGATTACAATATGCTACGAAGCGGTGCACCCACTAGCAGTTGAAGCTGCCAGCATGATCTAAACTTTCTTCTCTGTTGAGGATAGATCGGATCATGTGGTAGCTTCACCTGCTGTTGGGATCACGAACAAAATTACCCTTAGCCTGCTCTCAACTGCATTCATTGATAATACCCAGAGCTTCAATTCCTATTTCTCCCACATAGGTGAAAATTAAAGAATTTGATCGTCTTCAATCCCAGCCTCATGCATTTTCCACGTTTATTTCCTTCTGTTTCAACTTTCAAGTCTTGTTGCTTTGTAACTTTTCCAAGGTTTTGACTATCTCTTTTTTCGCTGTCATAAGTGTCAACTCGGTGCAACCACAGCAGCCGGTTGCAGGTATCAATCACATCTTCTAGAGGGGTACTTGGGTGAGCTTCTCACGATAAGCAAAAAATTGCTAAAAAGAGATGAGATACCATCATTATTTCAGTTGTAAGAGGGAGAAAAAAAATCAGGAGTCTTGAGCCAAGCAACTGGACCAAATACGTGGCACATCATATTCCCATTCACTTTTTTTTTTTTCTTCTTTGGGGTCGTCTGAACTATGTTAGGGTTTCTCTCGTCTGTAAATCGTAGTTTGGTGCTTTTTGAGATCCCATCTTATCCCTTCATGCATTGAGCCCTCTACATTTCATTTTTGTTTTTTTTCTATGACAATTTTCATTGACTGCTTTTACCATAATTTTAAGTGTTTTTGGTATATTGACTTTGATAAAGTATAGTTTTAGCCCTACCAACATATCATTTTGGAATATAAAACTAATTAATTAAAAGGAGAAGCACAATCTAATACTAAAAACCTCCGTTAGTATTTTTTTTTTTTTACTATTTGAACAAAATGTTTCAGGATGTTTTTGTTTATTCAAAGGAATATGCTGAGTTAGAAACTGCTTTTTCTTTTTGATTTCCCTTTTGTTCTCATATCATAGAAACGTAACTAAACCCTTCAATAAAAAAAAAGAGATATGAGAACAAAAATGTCTAATAAATTAAATATTACAATTTTCAAGTGTTCAAAAGATCATTCAAGGACAAAATATTGAAAATTTTCTGCGTGACATATTATTAGTTTTTCAATTTCTTAGTAGCATAAATTCCAAAAACAGAGCACACTTTTTCATTTATTAAAATTAGAAAGTGAAATTCAGATTAAATGAACATAGATTTCTATTTGGGTAATGAACTCCTTTCCCAGATCAAGGATGCAGGGTTGGGTACTTTTCCTTTTGTAAGAAGTAAAAAGACTTGATTCCCTATATATGAGAATTTGTTACGGCTCGACACCTTGGCCGCTTGTTTGGAAGCTTCATTTGGCCAAGAATCCCATTCCTTTTCCTGATTCTATGAGCACGCACCAAATCTCTAAACATATACATTGTACCAGAAACTGATGATCTGATCTGATTCTGTCTTACACTTTTTAGGCTTTTCAACAGTCTTCCAGCTGCCTCTCTTCATTTAGTTTTTTAATACATGGCATTTATTTATTTGCCTTTTTGTCTTCTTTGAGTCCCTTCTCATGAGAATTGGGCTAGTCTAACATTAATGGAACCATGTCTCAACAAAATTAATCTTATACGGTCATTATACATTTTCTTTTTCGTTTACATTCATGGGGACAAGCTAAACATTAGTTTGGTTTTCATGAATGTTTCACACTAGAAGATAACTGAGTGATTAGTACTGAGAAAGAATATTAACCGTGTGTGTGAGACATATAGTATTATTTATTAGAAGTACTAAATAATTAATATAAATTAGCTATTATATTGCTATATATAAATGATGTTAAATGATAGAAAATGCTACTGCAATTGCAAAAGTTGTCATCTTTTATATGAATATGCCATACTATATGTTTGGAAAAGCAAGAACTCAAGACTCATATAAGTTTCGTATAATTATCTTAAGAAATGATATTTATAAAATTAAGATTTGAATTTCAATATCTGCAATTCATTTTTTTTATTTTTAAATTGTAATTTTTAACGTATATAACAACAAATATAAGAAAAATTCAACTAAACTTATATTTTAATAGTATGAATGGATATATATTAACAAAAAATTCATGGGTTTTTAACTTTTTTATGATTATGAAGGATAACAAATGATGAGGTCATTGGTTATCATTGGTTTATTTTCTTTTCTGCCAAGAAAATCAGACCTATGAAGGGTATGGATATTGGGCCGATCAGATAGCTCATTCCAAATGAACCACTCCTTTGCACCAAAGGCCCGTCAATAAGCCCAATAATATTATATTTTGAACCAAAAAATTAGGTCAGGGAATTCATAAAAGCCTGCTCATATGAAAGCAAGGCAAATGGTAAATGATGACATAAATAAATACAACTGCAAAATGAAGGAAAATAGGTAAAACAAACATTCCTACTATTATAGAATAATTATATAATTATTTACGTCAAAAAAAAAGTATTGTGATTAAATTCTAACTACAAATATATAAATAGCTTTTATAAATATTTCACATATAAATAGCTTTTTTTAGCCTATATAACTTTTATCAAGAAAAGAATCACAAGAAAAGAATCAATAATCAAATAAGACCCGATAACTAATTTTTAATCAAATTTATTATTTATTATTTTATTTTTATTAATTAGCATGTCATATAGTCAGGATTATTCGATAATTTGTTTGTGTAAAAAAATCATAATAAAAAATAAAAGAAGAGATTACATATATTAAATTAAAAATTTATTAAATATTATCTCTTAAATTAATTTATGAATTCATTTAATTAAAATTATTTTTTATTGTCCGACAAAAAATAAATTAAAATATATAATCTACAATAATTATAGTGTAATTAATTAATTAATTAATCATAATTTAAAATTATGATATTATGTGATATCTATGAAAATTTTAATGAAATTTTACATTATTTTTTTTATTATAATTAAATAATTAAACTGTAAAAGAATTAGAAGTGAAACATCACCAACCAAATAAACCGACAAAGAACAATAATAAGTATTCGAAAAAGTGCTCATTCACTAAACATACAAATGCGCGGAAGCATCGTGACTCAAAAATAAAATTTAAAAAAAATAAAAAAAGTAGGTTCCGTTTCCCATACTCCACTGCACTAAGCTACTGGCCCGCGCCCTTGTGTCTTGGTTGTTCTTGCTTTTTCTTTTTCTCTGTTAGACTTGGATAGATATCAAGATAAATGCTGCTTAAATTTTCCACAGACCTCTGCATTGAATAAAGAAATCAAAGTAATCCATGGTTACCGGTAAAGGTATATGAGTTCTTCCTTCCTTTTTTATTTCCTTTGCTTTATCGTTACAATGTCAATTTAAAGCCATGGATGATTTTTTTTATATAGTTTCCATTTCTTTATTACACAGACTCATGAACAGATGGACTTAGTGCTTCGATTTAACATGTTTCATGTTTCATTACCATACTGTCAAATGCCAGTTTTTGAGGTTACTGATATGGATTTGTTTCAGAGGTTTTTTTTTTTTTTTTCAATGTGATTTAAATAACCGTTTTGTTCAAAACTAAAAGGAGTTTTGTGTAAAGATTGTTGAAAGCCGGGGAGACATTCTATTCTCTTCTGTTAACTTTGTTTTGTCAAATGGATGTGTTTATTTGATTGTCAAAAACCTAAGCAATCCTGAAGACAGTAAATGGGAATGTTTGTTTTGTTAACTAGTTTGAATTATGGTTCCTTTTGTTGGTTGATTTTATATTCTTTCTATTGAGGGATTTCTTTTTTGGGCTTTTGTTGTTACTGGGTTTTCTTTGAATGTTAGTTTAGTCTTACATTCACTTGTTATATAATGCTTCATTTGATTGTTTCTTTTGTTACTTGCTTTTTGATTATGGAAGCAAAAGGTGAACTTTGATACAAAAAGCAAATAATATTTTTGGATAAAAATGAAAAAATTAATTTTATGGATAACAATTGCATAAATTTACTTCTACATGGAACGCTTATGTTGTAATTGATGTTGCATTAGCCATTGGCTCACTTTTAACAAGATACGATTTTGCTTTTCACTATTTACTCTTTCCTTTTGCTTTAGCTTTATGACAATTTTTGAGGAAGCCAAATAGAGAAAGTAACAATGGCATTTTGTTTGCAACATCCTTGCCTTTATGGATTCAATAGTTTAGTTGTATTAGTTTATCTTTTCAGTGACAGCTCTCATGTTTTAGTACTCTTTCCTGAAATGAATAAATTCAAAAAAGCTTTAATTCAAGTTCTCAAATATTGTTCTGAATTTCACAATTACGTCATGCCAGGTTGTGTAGAGAACTACTGCTTTTGCCAGGCAACCAATTTCAGAAGTTTGTGGCTTTGGACTTTGATTGAATCTGAATTCAATCTAAAACTTATACATAAAGAAAACAACGAAAGCATGAGATTCCTCCTTCATGTCCAATTTTCCTGGTAAAATTGTAGCTTCTTGCTCTTGAGACTCATTTGCCTACCGTGTGAGTTATCCATTTGAGTCTTTTTGTTTATATGGATTTGTGCTATCTAAATATGCATCCTTGTTAAAAACCTTCGGCTTCTGCAAACAAGTAGAGGTCTATTTTGCCCAAGTTTGTAATGGGACAAAACGAAGTTTTTTTTTTTTTTTTTTTTTTTGGTAATACACTCTTCCCCTCTAGCACCATGACCTTCTGTGAAGGAACTTGTTGTTAGGCTGCTGGACCACCTTATTAACCTTCATCCAATGACCATAAGCATTTGGACATGGATTTTCAATGGAGAATGGAAAATTCACTGTATGATCGCTCTATGCCCATATGTATTTATTTGGGGACTTTAAACCGTGGCAATTGGTCTGCTTTAGACATTCCTTTGCCTAATATTTGAAATGTCATGTGTCAGTGTTTGCCATTACAATATTTTTTTCCATTGAAGTACAGAAGCTTTTTGTTTCCCTTAGTGCTAAGAGATATATAGTATAGATGCTCAATATTCCAGGATAGAACTATCATTTTAGAAAAAAAAAACATAGCAATCAAACAGATATGCACCATAATTTGTCCCTTAATAAGAAAAACCACCAAGTTTTAAAGTGGAACTAGTACAAACTTTTTCCTCTTTGTGTGCACAGAAAATTGGGACAAAAGTTTTACTCCCTTCTCAGCTTCACCACATGAATACAAGATTGCAAATTTCAAATGCTTGATAGTAGAATAATTGAAGACACTCATGTGGGGAACTTTTTTTATGAGAATAGAAGTACAATGTTAGCACAGATCATCCTGTGTCAAAACTCTTACAAAGGAGTGAACCGAATAAATCTTTAAAGAAGAATAAACTAGCAATCGACATGTAGCTGGAGAAATCCAAGGTAAAGTTAGAGTCAACAACATAAGTTGAGATTGAATCCGGGACCCAATGGTTCCAAGGCATATATTTTATATAAGAAGTCAGTAGCTTGCCTGGTGTCTTTAGGACAATCAGGTGTTAAAACAGGAAGAGCCTATCCCTTCTTCCCTTCTGGTTTTGTCTTGGCAACCAAGAGAGTGACGACACTGAGCTAAATGGTAGACCATTCAAGTTGTGGAGCTTTATCACAGTGAACAAATCTTTTTGTTCCAAAGTTGCTTAGCTACTTGTGGAATGCTTGGCTCGATCAGGAGTGATCTCTTCTGTTTTCTATTTCTAATCTTTCTTTTTCTTGATATTTTATTATTAACAAAATTGATAGTGCAGACAAGAAAAGGGGTCAAGAAGAAACAAGATTAAAAATGTAAAACGTCTAGAATTACGATCTCACTCTGTTGTCCTTCTTTGTTAGGCTTGCCACTGTTGTGATTCTGATAGCCACGTCCTGAGTCTTACCTTATTCCACATCCAGTTCCAAGTATGCAGGATGAAGGTCTCCTGTGGTAGATAGCTTGCTTCACAATTGTGAATATGATTCTTGACCTCTTGAGGTAACTGAAGAAGGGTTTGTCTGGAACAGGTATGAGCTTCACGAACCATGCAATTGGCCATGAGAAAGCTGCAAGTACGATACAAACTCCCCACTGCCATAGTTTCAACTTCTCTGTATCTGCAAACTTCTTTAAAAATTCCACCATAACCACCTGAAGAATGATAGTTATCCCCACAATTCCCAGAAATAATTTGTTTGTAAGAATGCCTTCGAAAACATTTTGCTTCTCCAACTTCCTTGCATTGAACTCATTAAAAACTTGACACAGAACGAAAGTATTGAAAATCAGTGTCTCCTTTACTCTCTCAGACACATTGAATATAGATTCACCCCTAAATTCTAGGATCAAGAGAACAGCTATCTGGTATAGGGCTTGGGCTAAAAGATTCCTCCACATAATATTAGTAATGAGGGGCTCAGTTCGACCGACAGGTGGCTTCTGCATTAGCTCCTTAGTTGGCCTATCTGTAGCGAGGGCTAGAGCACCCAAAGTGTCCATGATGAGGTTTACCCAAAGCAATTGAACTGCTGTCAAGGGAACCTCACCAGCAGAAACTGCTGCAATGAAGTTAATTACAAGAGCTGCAACATTGACGGTAAGCTGAAATTGAATGAACTTTTGAATGTTGTTGTAAACACATCTTCCCCATCTTAAAACTGTCGCAACTGAGCTAAAATTGTCATCCAAGATGATAATGTCTGAGCTCTCCTTGGCCACCTCAGTGCCTTGAATGCCCATTGAAAGTCCAATATCGGCTTCTTTTAATGCAGGAGCGTCATTAGTGCCATCCCCTGTGACCGCGACAACATGACCTTTCTGTTTCAAGCACTGTACCATCAATAGCTTGTCAAACGGAGAGGACCTTGCCATCACTCGGATCTTGTCTACCTTCTCCATTCTCTCATCAGGTGTATAGTTTCGAAATTCAATACCTTCTACAACTTCTCCACTTTCTTCGCGGTAATCTGGTCCTAGAATTCCGCACTCTGTAGCTATAGCTTTTGCTGTGAAAAGATTGTCTCCAGTGATCATTTTGATGCCCACCCCTGCAGATTGGCAAGCTTCCACGGCTTTCTTAACCTCTTGGCGACATGGATCCTTCAAACCAACTATCCCTAGTAAGGTTAAACCCTCTTCGTTCATTCTTTGATGAGTCTTTCCGCTATCACCATCATATTCCATTTCTTCTCCTGAAACTTGCTTATGAGCAAAAGCAATGCATCGTAGGCTGCTAGCCGCCATGCTTTGGATTATCTTTTCGATTCTGCTCCTTCTGTCTTCATTCATGGACGTGATGATCCCATTACTCTCGTAATATTGTGAACACATAGCCACAATCATCTCTGCAGCTCCTTTCCAGTGTACGTGAATAGTTTCATCAGCCCTTTTCCTTACTGAAACCCCACTCCGCTTTTTCTCCGAGTTGAAGGTTTCAACATGGAGGATGCTGTATTTTTGCTTCAATTTTTCCATATCCATACCCAAACGTAAGACAGCCCACGAGAGAATTGCCTTTTCGGTTGGGCTGCCAGAAAACTCAGGTAGCGATCCAGAGACGGGTTTGCAAACGCTACCAGTTGTGTTCAAACCAACTCCTTGGTATAATAAGTCAAGAACACCTGGGTCAATGATGTTGGAAAGATCTTCCTCAATGGACTCTTGGCCGAGCCAAAACTGGGTTACTTGCATCTGATTTAGTGTCAAGGTGCCAGTTTTATCAGTACAAATAACTGTAGCTGAGCCCATTGTTTCACAGGCTGAAAGTTTTCTGACCATTGCCTGATCAGCCATCATTCTCTTCATTGAGTAGGCAAGTGTAAGAGTGACAGCCAGTGGTAGACCTTCTGGGATTGCCACAACCACAATAGTTACTGCAGCAGCAACTATACGAACAACCGCATTTAATATATTGTCTACATCGGTCTTGGTACCGATGTACTCCGTGTTCCCATTGTCATCTTTTGTATTCCCAGTGAAATAACGAATTAATAAGACTACAAGAACTAGAAAGGCAACTGCAAGACCTATCTTCCCGATAGAAGAGGTTAGTTTGTCCAGTCGAGCTTGCAGTGGTGTTCTTTCATTTTTATCACTGGTTATTGAGCTCATCATTTCACCCCATGCAGTGTCCATTCCCACGGATGCTACAAGCATTTGAGCATATCCATCTGCCACCTTTGAACCAGAAAAAAGGAATGGGTTCCTGGTGGTATCTACTTCCACGTGGTCACTCTCGCCCGTCATGCTTGATTCGTCCACTTGTAGTGAATATCCATCCAAGAAGAGCCCATCTGCTGGAATTTGATCTCCTATCTTCAGGAAGACGACATCTCCAACAACAAGATCAAATATAGATATTTGTTGACGACGACCACCTCTAACAACTTCAACTTTGATGTTGTTACTTATTTTTGATAACTTGTCAAATTGAGTCTCCTGTCTGAAGTTACTGAGTGCAGATACAGCAATCACAAGAAAGACTGCAACAAAAATACTTCCACCTTCATACCAACCCTCTTCAGCGCCATGTTCTTTGATACCAAAACCAAGAGAAAGAGCAGCACATACCAGGAGTATAAGAATTATGGTGTCTTTGGCAGCATCCAGGACGAAGTATAATAACCCTTTTGGAGGTGGCTTGTGGTAGGTATTGGTACCGAACATCTCTTGCCTTTTTATAACCTCTTGATCATCATCCCGGATTCCATTTTCTGGATTTGTGCAAAGAGCAGCAGCAACGCCTTCAACTCCTCCAAGCTGGCGGAGAGAAACCAAGTCTTTTTCTTTCACAGTATTTACGAGCTGTTTTTTATCAATTTTCGGAGCAAAGGAGGAAGTTAAAATGTTTTCACCCCAATGTTGAGAGCTCGATGGTTCAATATCAAGGACAACGTAAGGTTGTGAGTACGAGATCACAGAGGCTGGTTCGTTACCTCTTTTGGAAATCATCTCTTTAGCAAGAGAAACCATTACCCGAACAGAATATATCGCTGCACAGGCAATGCGCCAACGCCTTTGAGCTTTAGTGAAGCTGGAGGTGGTGACGTTGAGGAGTAACGTGCCACAATCATAGAGTTTAAAATCATCACTGCTAGACATGGTTTGTTTGAAGGGTTTTTCAGGTTACTAGGACTTAGGAGAGAGTTAGTACCGTACTACTTTCTCTTGTGAATGAACTTCTTTCAACTAAAGTGAAGCAATGTCTAATTTATATACGGTGTTGGAATGTTTGATCAACAAACCGCCTTAGCTGTAGCGGCATATTATTGGCCAGTTTCAGCCTCAGTCAATTTCTACGTAATTTACTTGACAATCGAATGAAACTCAATAGAAATTTCAGAGGTTTTTTAATAATGGAAATAATAATTTATGGATAAAAAATTTATAGGTATTAAAATTTAAAATTATAAATGTTATATTTTAAAACAAGTATACGAATCATCTTAGAGATATTTCAGATTCTTTATAGTTTCAAAGATAAGAAAAAGAGGGCTGCTATTTGTATTTCGACATTTACTCATCACATCCCATCGTTTTCAAAATTTTATATTTTTAGTCATTACACTTCACATTTAAAATTAAAACTTACCAAAACATCCAAATATCTTGTTTTGGTATAATTCAAAACTTTTAAAAATAAATTTTTAAAAATTTTTAAAATTGAATATATGAAAATCTTTAAAATCGAAAGAAAGTTTGTAAAAATTTTTAAAAATAAATGTTTGAAGCTTTTAAGAGTTTTTGAAAATAAAAATTTTTAAAATTGAACTTTTGAAAAATTTTAAAAGGTTTTGAAAACTAAGATTGATATCTCCAAAATTCTCTTCCTGCAATGTCCAAAAGCTTTTAAAAGCTTTCAAAAATAAATTTTTAAAATTTTTTAAAATATTTTAAATATTAATTTTTAAAAATCAATTTATTCATTTATCATATCCAAATTTTTATTGTTACAATTGTTTCTTTCAAATTCATTTTTTATTTTGACATATTACGAGTTTTGATTATAAATTTTGATAACAATATGATTTATTACCGGAAATAAGAAAATAAAAGAATTATTGATATTATGAGAAAAAGAAAAAGAAAAAAATGAGAGCGTGAAAAAAAAAATGATTAATAAACATTTAAATAATTTTATTAAAAATTAAATTTATAATAAAACTTTTAAAATGTATTGAATAATTTTTGGGTGTAAATAATACTCTTAAAAATATATATATATATATATATATAAATTTTTTTCACTCCAACGTCGTTGTCGCCTTGTTGGAAGCAGGCACCATAATCTTTTACAACACTTCAAATCAAATCAAATCAAATAAAAAAAATACATTGAATTTTCACTTTTATATTGATCATTTGACAATATTAAAAGCAGTAGCGTAGCTAGGCGGCTGCAGGAGCTATGGCTCCCCTAAAATTTTTTTTGCATTATCATAATAGAAAATTTCATTTCATTAAAAGTAATATTTTATCTTTTTTTTAGTAAATTTATTATTATTATTTTTTTAATGTTTTTGGTTTCGACTTTGATTACAAGTGAAAAATAAAGATAAAGTCATTTGAAAAGTTTCTTGATTAATTTAAAGCCGTGCAATTTGTACCCTGTTTATGTTTTTGCTCGTTGTAGTTGGATCATGAATGATTGATGATCCGTAGGCAACCAAAAAAAAAAAAACGAAAGCGGTAAGCACTTTCCTAGTCTATATAATAACTTGATCCAATTCCAAGTTAAGTGTAAACGCGGCATTCCGCTGACTCTTTTAATTTACGTGGGGAAAGACTTTCCACCCAGTATCCACGTATCTTCTTTTATACGGTACTAGGTTTAATTGCTTAGCTCAAGCAATTCTCAGTAAAAATTGGGTAATTGATACTTGGAATTTTATTTATTATTATTATTTTTTGCTATGTTTGCAGCTTATTTTCCAAGGGCTTCACTATTTTCCCATGATGGTAACTTGTACATCCCTTGTATTGAGTTCATTTTTTCGAGCAGCCTTTGTTGAAAATTGTGAATACACTATACTTTACTCTGAATATGACTTGGGGAGCCGCCTTTATTAAGAATATTAGTACATCTTTTTTTCTAATTATTTCTAATAAGTAATAATATGAATCATATGAATCAAGAACACTGTAAGAGCTGCCTTTGGTAGGTTCCTTTACATTTTTTTTTTTATGTTCATAAAAATTATAATATATAATTTTTTTATAAAATATGATGTATATATAAAAGTTATTAATATTTTATACGATGAAAATATATAAATTACAAAATCTCTTTTACAGTGTTGGATTTTGTTAGTCAAAGACAAAACTACTTAAAATTTCTTCTCACAAAAGCTGTTATGACATGCTTTGTATTAATTCGGTGCATTTCTTCAGCTAGTCACCTTGCAATAGGCCTCTAATTTATTTCGAAATCTCTTATTGGAAAGAATTTGGACTACTAAAATGACAACATAAGTCACAAGCAACACTTTCAAATGTTTTTTTTTTTTTTTTGTTTTCTTTTAAAATTTGAGGATAGGTTATCACACGGAAATACCATGAATTTTCTAATTTCTTTACATGCAGGATACATTAACATACCGAGACTCGAAATTGGTGGGAGCATTGTCGTTTTCCAAGTCACAAAAAAAAAAAAAAAAAGCTTTCGGAAGCTGACTGGAAAAGTAAGAAGGAACAGCATCCCAAGGATTTATATTCTCAGACATGTGATCATCCACCGGCCAACTGTCGTTTTTTTATAAAAACGTACCTCATTTCCCCCCCCCCCCTCCCCCCACCCTAAACAAGGTGGTTAGGTTCATCTCCTTTCAGATTCTCAGTTGAAACTAACTTTTTTTCTTTTTTAAAATCTTTAAAGCGAAGTTTGAATATAAGTTGCTCTCAACTTCATTGCCTAACCCTTTTTTTTTTGTTTTAAGTTTTGTTTTTAATTGACTATCAGGTTTCGTGATTTAATATCAAATTAATTAATTAATATATATATTTATACACATATAAATACACTTGTAGCAAGAGTGGAAGAAAGTAATGGCCAGCTTTAGAAAGGAAATTTAATTATTCATCTTCCATCACACCCCAATTTGTCTTTTATGTATTTATCTCATTTTCACTTAATGTATATAGAATTACAAAATAATATTGACCCTTATGCAATATGATAAAAGAAATCAAAAGAATTTTGTAAGGCTTTATAGACACCGAATTTTGTTCGAATTTATATTTTTTATAATTAGAAAAATATAATTAATTAACAAAAAAATTAAATTAAAAATTAAAAAAGAAGACAAACAGAAAATCCAAATAAAAGAAGAAACAAACTGGAAAGAGCTGGTGCCAGCGGATGTCGTGCACGGTACCGCTGGCCACCCACGCCTGCCACTACCCCAGCCATCATACCACCCCCTCGTCCAATCTCTTCACTCCATCAGCACACGCAACCACTATTTCAATCATATAAAACACTCGATTCTCCCTCATTTTAGAGCTAGCTGAAACTCTCGGGATATCTCCTCACCAGAATACCAAAAAAAAAAATGCACCCCTACCAACAACCTTAGTTTAGATCCACGTAACCCGACCCGTTGATCCGTTCTTCCAATAACTGTTGATCGGTCCAATTGAATAGGTCTGAATCGGATCGAACCGTAGATCGCTAGCTGAAACCGTTGACTGAATTGCAGAATCGGCCTGATCGATCCAAACCAACGTTGACTGGATCGTTGACTGGTCCAGTTTAGGTAAAAAAAAAAATTTTTTCTTTTAAAAAAATTTTTTTCTAAATTTTTTATATATTATTATTTTTGTTATTTTAAGTATATTTTTTATATTTATGCATGATAAGTTCTTAAATTTGTTAGGATAAATTTTTAATTGTTTTAATAATAATAAATTTGAAAACAAGTAATAATTAAAAATATATATTAAAAATGCTCAAAAAAATAATTATTTTTTATTATTTTTCTTGCCTAGATGTTGGAGAAATAAAAATATTTTTCTAAAAATAATTTTACCTAGATGTTGGGAAATTATTATTAATAAATTTTCATAAAAAGAGATATATGAGAAATTATTGATTAAATTTAAAAAATCACTAAAATCAAACTTGCTCTGAAAATCAGCCTAGATATTGGAGATTTTTAGAAATGTTCGTATTTTCTTAAAAACGAAACTTCAATTTTTAAAACCAAAACCATAGGTTTCTAAAACTCCTAAAATCCAAAATCCTAAAATCTGAAACTCATAAAAATCTAAAATCCCCTAAATCCAAACCCCTAAAATTCGAAACCCCTAAAATCCAAACCCCAAAATCCAAAATCCCTAAAATCTAAATCCTTAAATTAAAACCCCAAATCACAAAACCCAAACCCTAAAATCTCTAAACTCTAAAATCAAAACCCTAAACCTTCCATATCCTAAAATTCAAGCCTTAAAACCTTCTAAACCTTAAAACCAAACCTTCAAAACCTCTACTCAAGCCCTTACTCAAAACCTCTTAAAAATCCTAAGGACACGTGTGAAAATTATATTTGAAAGCAATTTGTTCCCGAATGTTGCCTAGATGATGGGGTATTTAGAAAACTTTACTTCGTTAAGTTTTTTCACATGAATTCTTAACTCGCATTAATAATAAGATTAATAAATAAAAAGTATAACAGTAAATTGAGATCTTAAATATAAACAATTGCACCTAAGCTCTGTCTAGATGTTGGAAAGTCGGGGCCTCATTATACTTAAGAATCTAACTTTTAAATTGCATCTCATCCTACGTAACATTCATTGGCATACATACGTTAGCATGTTATTATCAGAATTTATTTGTACTATTCTGTCTTTAATTTTTATTTACTACTTGGTGATAAAAATATTTTATAATAAAAAAAGAATAATACTTTAAAAAAATTGTTATATTACAAAATAAAATAAAAATAACATTCTGAAAGAAATAATTCTTGGTACTCTGCCTAGATATTGGAGAGTCATCAATAATTTTTTATAAAGAGTGTTATTGCATTTTAAGGATTGTTGTGTTAAATCTTAAGCGAAAAGAGTTATTTTAAATTCTGCCTAAATATTGAAGAATTTTAAAATAATTTTTTAACTTAAAGATTTTTTCAATATTTATAAATAAAAATTTTAGCAAAAATATTTTTTAAAAACGAAAGGAATTAGTATTAAATTTCAAGT